CGGTATCGCGGAGGTCACGGGTTCGAATCCCGTTGAAGCCCTGATTTTTTCAGGCTTCTTCTTTCCAATTGCTTAAATTGGAAAGTTTACTGCGATTATCATTCTTCACTTTTAAAAATAAATTTATTTAATTTCGTTACAGGTGTCTTATTTGGTCCGCGCCAAGTAGGACTTACCTTTAAGTGCTGGAGAGTAACACGGACATCCAGGTTTTTACCAGTAGCTGACGGCGTCACAAGACTTCCAATGATGCGACTGTTAAGCTCGTAATTCGTTTCGTTGCCTTTTTCTCTGAAAAGCGAGAAACGCAGATTTTACGCTAGAAGTACTTAGACATATAGTATGTTACACGGCGTTGCAAAGGTGTGAATTATATTTTCTCGTGGTAAAACAACTACATTGTTTTAAACATGAGAAAATAAAATTCATATATCGTCAAGCCATTGTGTAATTTTCTTTTTACCATATAGACCAACTGACTGCACAAGAAACCGTGAAAAGCGATTAATGATGTCATCAATATCCTCACTAATGAGACTGTGGAAAATACGCCACCCTAGTCCTGAATGTAGTTTCGCATGAATGTTACGCGCGGTGTATTTTCCAGTAAGTCACTCGTGTTTATATAATACTTGAATATACTGGCAGATCACCTCGTGATTTTATTTGCCTAAGTTGCACAGTTAAACGCGTGCAGTTAAACGCGTGCAGCATTTCAACGAGCACAATGCTTCACTCTACATTAAGGCCCCGTCCACACGTATCCGGATATTTTTGAATCCGCAACTTTTTCTTTCCGGTTACGGCTTCCGTCCACACGCATCCGGCAAATTCCGCAGCGAATCCGGATATTTTTGAATCCGCTCTCCAGAGTGGAAAAAAGTAAATCCGCAGCGAGTCCGATAACGCGTGGACGGGGAATCCGGATATTTTTGAATCCGATGACGTAGAAAAATCGCGTCCAGTCTCTTACCGAACAATAAACCAATATGGCAGCACAACGTGTAGGCCTAGTTTCTCTGGAGTGAATCCGGATACCATCGGATGCATGTGGACAGGCGAATTCGATTTGAATACGCTACGTATGGTCGGGGAAATTTCTGAATCCGGAAAGAAAAAGTTGCGGATTCAAAAATATCCGGATACGTGTGGACGGTGCCTAAGTCAGGAGTACAAAGAAGAATGTTTATAACTGGTCTTGGAGTGTTTGTATTCGTGGTCTGCTTGGTTGAACAATATCATCTATACTTACTTTCCAACCTTGGATGGAGACGATGGTAGCATTTCATGCAAACTCTTGTAAATGACACTAAAAGCCTTGGTTTTATCTTTAAGCTTGATTTCTGCAAGATAAATTACAAACCTTCAGCCCCTTTAACCTATTTAAATAACCCAAGTGCCGCGTTAAAGGTTTTTTTTCCTAAAAAAGATACAGTGACAACGGGCTTTGAATTTGAAAAAAGCATTGTCAACAACGGAACTCAAGAGTTGATCAAGAAAGCAAAGAATAATCAATCAAAGGCAATATTGGTAAAACAACACTTGTTTCTCACCCGCGACTTTTAAAGTGAGGAAATCGTTGATTTCTTTCCAATTTTTGTCCATGTTAGACACTGGAAATCTGTAGTCGCCAGACAACACTGATGCCTGCAGAACTAACACACAGCAGCAAAATTGTAAGCACAAGTGAGGCAACCTGAAACCAGGGTTTGTTATCATGGAACCTGTCGGAACTCTTCCCTGTGAGTTGATTTCAAAATCTCACCAACCTAGTGCACTCACTTACGGAACTAACATTGCTCAACAAAAGTAATAGTATTGTCACCGAATATGAGAGTAAAATTCTAACAATAAAGCGTTTGAATTAGAAAGGCCAATAAAGATGAATTCTGCTCACAAATGTTGTCCTCCGATGAACCGACTGCAGATGTTTCATTGGACCATTTGTCAGCCAACTCTTTACCAAACGACTCCGTGATCTCTGCAATCTCCATAGCTAAACTCGTATTAGACCGACGCCATTGCTCTTTTGTTTTTTCTACTAGTACATCGTTTATGGTCTTCGTGCTTTCCTGGCGAGAAACAATAAACGTTTGATGAAGCAACGAGACACACAACAACTTACACTCTTCTTTTTGTTCGATAAAGGTATGTGTTCTTTAGGATAGTCGTGTTAAGAAGATCATAAACTTTGCAGTAAATTCTAAGCCACCTGAAATTGTTGTTGGGTGGCGCGGTGGCCTCATGGTTAGTGCGCTCGTCTCCGGATCGAGCGTTCCGGGTTCGAGCCCTGGCCGGGGACATTGTGTTGTNATAAGCTCCGGCCTGATGGGCCACTTGGCTCGTCTGCAGACTTTACCTTTTTTTACCTCGTTCCATGGGGATCAGCACCTCTCTCGTTTCTCAACAGGTGAAACAGACAGACAGACGCTTTTATTTCAACACGGAAAATTTCTTCAATTACAGTGAATTGGTTTCCGAGAAAGCCGTGCTGAACGAGGAAAGGACAGTGATACATTGTCCGTACAAAAGTGCAGCTGGCAAAGTTCAGTTAAGTATGGACTTCATGGGATAGTTTTGAATAATAGTATAGCCTGTGTTTCAGGAGTAAACGAGGAATGGGGTAGGGAGGCGAAAAATGTTCTCTAACGCTCCTTCCCATTCTCCCCCTTTTTACGCCTGCTATGCAGGTTAGCAGTAGTAATGGTAGCCTGCGTGCAGACGTCTGCTATTTCCCTTGCTAAACGTTTGCAAACCGGCTTAAAAGCGCAGGCAATGTAGTAATGATTGTACTTCTGTTCCTGCTTCACCACACTTGGAAATCTAACTGATGTCCCATATTCCTCAATTGAACGACCGTCTGCTGAGGCGATGTTAGTTTGAGAATCATTGCAGATTGCAGTTTACCTTTGTGACTTGCGTAATTTGCTGGAGCGAAGCAGGGGATTGGTCTGAAGGTATTGATTTCAAACTTTTCGTCATCGTATCCATAGACTGCTTGAAGGTTTTGAGCTAAATTCAAAGTTGAAGAGGACCGTTAAAACACCTCAAGTCAACAAACGCATCGGAGATGGAGTTTACGGTAGCAACGTAAAATGGTACGAGAGGAACAAACACATTATTGGGAGTTCTTACAACGCAGTTGGCATTATCTCTAAAGACCTTTAATTGGATTTCGTTTTAACATATTTGTATTTTTAGCCCCCCCTCCTGCAATAGTTCACTTTATGGCTTCAGGAATAGGCCAAAAAGAAAGCACAAAATCGGTTTTGTATTAAGTAATAAGTCCCCTATTTTTACAAACAATATAAACAAATATAAGATTGAGTCCAGCCATAGGGAGTAGGAAGGATCTCTTAAAATTCGTTTCAGACTTGGAACAGTAATGGAATAACACTAGTACCTTTTAGCCAAAAGATATGGAAGAAAAACAACCAAAGTTGGAGAGGTTTTCATTAGCATGCGCTACGCTTTCTCTCTCCATCTCTTCCTTCTTCCTTCTTCCTTTCCTTTTACGGGGATACCTTTAGCAACAATAGTAGCTAGCTACTTGTTTTTTTTTTTTTTGCATTTTTTTTAAAAAGGACTATTTATATTTCGAGTTATAATGCATGCTAAGCCTAAATGAAAATTTGTAAAATAATAAACTGAAACTCTCCATGCGGGATAGCTTAGTTACCATTTCGTCTGGAGTTTTACAACGTTCTGCTTGACATTTAACATCTTGTAATCCTTGCTCACTTCCTCTGCAACCGATAAGGTCCAGTTCTGTAAAAGACATAATCAAATACACGGGTTAGAAATGGATCTAGATTGCTGTTTTTTTTGGTTTTTTTTTTGAAGTTCAAAACGATTCATTCACAATGCGAAATTATTCCTCCTTTAAAAATTCTTTAAGCAGGATCCAGCATGGTTTTCCCTCAGAGGTGTTTCCGCGGTGTTCGAGTTTTCTCTCTTTGTCAGTTGCATAATAAGAATAGACAGGGATTTGATAAAAATAGATCTTGTGTTCTTGCGGTAAATTGTCTTATGTTATACAACGTATTTAATACGCTGTAATGCGAAGACCTTTTAGCACCATACCTGTTCCTTCCATGACAAAATGCTTTGATGAAATGGGCTGCTGTTTCTTTTTTGTAGGAAATTTCGCTCCGACACACATAAAATCATACAGTATATCCTCCTTGTGTAATACTTCCATGTAGTACACGTTGTCCTCTTCAAGGTATATCTTTTCTGAAGATTGATCATCAGACCTAAGGGAAAACCCTTAATTAAGTTCTTAGAAATCAAGGTTACATGTAGTTCATTTAGAACGACACCCTTAAATATTGCAGGCAACTTGTGAAATGCCAGACTGTTATAATGAAAGAAATGAACCATACACCTCCACTCCAAAGAGTAGAAAACAAATCAGAAAACTATATATTTTCAAATCTGCTGCGATCCATACAGGCATGTTGCTCAGAAAGAGGGGCCAAGCAGAAAAAAATTTGTTTGGATCTTCTTGCTCGATCCAAGCTGTAACCGGAGAATTTCATGAGTGAAAAAATCAAATCTCCCAAACCCGTATGAAAAAAGCTTAGCCTTTTCACTTGTGGAGGAGATTACAGTGAGCTCTTCTAGTGAGAGTTTCCATATATCCTTGCTATGGTTTGCTTATTACAGTAACCCATCTGCATATGTGGCATAATGTGTCCAGTCGTATCGAGACGTACTTATCCCAGAGATGTCGTGTGTTATATTTGCGCTGATCAACGATTAGACGTTTCCCGGTGGGAAGTTCACTGTTGCTCATCCATAGCTGGCAGGCGTTATCACAGGAAGTCTGGAAGGTATAATTGCCTGTCTCAGGAGCTCGGAAGAAAGATCTTAACCGCTGACCATAATAATCGCCGCTGTCTGGATTGTAAACACAAAACGTGTCAATGAACTTCGTCTTCGAAGGAGCACAGGGATACAAACTGCTGGATTCCAAATCAGTCACTGAGGACCCTGGTACATTTGTCCAAAGTTCACGGTACACTGAAATAAAAACAGTTACGCATTTTTATATCTCTACATGTCTGACACACCACATCAAAACCACGTCATCTCCTCCCCGCAACATGGCCTAGAGAGAGGCCAAGCTGCAGGTGAGGGTACTATCAACTATTTGAGGGAGCAAAATGATTTTCTTCGATTTTTATCATATGACAATGTCGTGCACAAAAAGACATCTTACTTTTATACCAAATTGCTGCAGGATAGCAACATAAAGAACCGAACTTTGAAAATATTTTTCATTTGTACGCGTGAAACATTTGACGCTAACCACTACGTCTTATGACATCTCTATTTTTAATCTGACTCTGACATCGAATAGCTTTTTCTACGAGATCTGGTAAACTTAAGTCTCTCATCATACTTAATTGAGGGAAATGGTTAAGAAGCCCGGTAAACATCAAAGAAGCAAACAAACAGGCTCCGATTTATGTTTGGAAGGTCCTTGACTCTGCACATCTTTTGTTTTATGCTCATAGACTATGCATGAATGACATAATCGCGATACTCCTATTGGTTAGTTGTATGAGCAAACACCTTTTGTTTTTTACCTTGCAGGTTTTGTGCAGGGTCAACTCCCAAAAGAGACAACAAAAACATACAACAAAAAACTTTGCCAGGTTTGGAACCATTCCCTATATTAACCATGCTTTCATCAGCTGTATGATGATTCTTGCAGCCTTACCTTTTTTTACTGCACAGTTCATTTTCCAGGAATGAACGAATGTCTTCTTTTTTGGGTCAAACATAAGTCCGGTCGATAACCCTGTACGATGGCGTGTTTTGTCGTTATTGCAATCATAATAAGCTCTGCAATCTTCTGGGTCAGCGTGCAAACCAGACGATTTACCAACACAAAAAGCTGAGAGATCAAAACAGAGAAGATATAAGAACTAGCATTTTTAACAATGAAAGTGGAAAAAGAAAAGGAATTCATTAGAGAGACTTCTTATTGCAGCCCAGCACTCTAATTCTAAATATATGAATGTCCAGTGCTTTTTTTTCCTTTTCTTGTTTTTTCAGTTCTTAACAACAATACCTTACGTCTAACTTAAAAGAAAGAAATATGGCACTGGAGAAACGACTGGATGTGTTGATGACATTGAACACGTAATAGTTGGTCGTTATTTGTTTCTCGCGAATCTCAACGCTCTAGATTCGATATTCGTATTGTGTTACAGTATTACAGATTTCACTTTCAACGGCGCTCGTCGGTCAACATTCGCGGTAGCAGTACACTACAACCCTCCAACGTCAGATTTTGCAATGTTGCCCGCTCAAAGATTTTTGGCGGGAAACAGTTTTATGGCTGAATGAGAGAGCACGAGCTTTAGGATGAAAAAGCCTGCAATATAATGAATTTGCCTTCTTTTTTTTTTTTTCATGACACCTGACAGGGTTCCAACAATATTATTCTTTCATGTGTATCATATTTCGAGAAAGTTTTTTTTTCATTTTTTGCAAGGAATATCGGCTTTTTTGCGTTCCAACGGACAAGGCACTAAATGGTAGTTATTTTGCTCTTTCATCAAATTTCTAATTTATCGGTAATTGGATTGGGAAAGTTCTGTTCTGGGGTATTAAACGACCTTATGGTTCCCGTGAAGCGCTTTTAAAAGTGACTTAACGAAGAATAAAAACGAAGTTTCATATTCACGGCCTTTATGCACACAGAATTAAGAAATTCTGAATGATTTCGTAGTTAGCAAGAAACACTTTGCACTAACGAATCCACTCCGCTCTAATTTGAATCTGAAATGAATGATTTAATTACACCCTGTTAAGGGAAATGAACACCTAAGCTTTAGACACGAGACTGACGTGCGTCCTGTTAATGCTGTTAGCACCTCCAAATTAATTTTCTCTTTTGACATGGATTTTGTTTTCCTCAGAAAGAGAATAAATTAGAAACATAATTACCGTCAGATGGCGTTGGATAAACATGCTTTGTGCACTTTGTATGACAGAAAGAAAGCGCTCCCTAGGAACTGAATTAAAAGTCCATGAGTTTTATAATTACAATTTCCGTCGATAAAAATTGCTAAGTAATTGTGAAGCAATATATTTGGGTTAACATATTCATCTCGAAGCTTCTTACGTTAACTCAGGTGAGCAGCTGTATGCATCTACCACCTTCATTTACTCTGAAAGCATCAATGCAACCACAAGGATTTTCCGTTTTGTTTCTGGCGTAGACATAACCACCTTTATTAGTTTCAATAAAAATAACTTAATTTGAAAAGTAGAAACTGATAATGCTGAACTTAACAGTATCTCTGTTACGACCAATGCCAAATTTGAACCCCAATTAGATCGCTATTTTGATAACGACAACAAACAGGTCTAAGTATATGAAGTAGAACTTAGCCGTAGCTTAAAAATTAATCATTTACTAGGACATGCCCCAGGGTAGGAGAGAATAGAAAGCGCGCTGTTAAAGCGCGCATTTCTACTCTTACCCTTGGGTAAATATTCCCTTGCCTGGTACGCTTTCTTGCCAAAAAGTTTAATTAAGTGCGTGTCACAAAGACTAAATAAGGATATTTTAGCCCTTGATAATAACCTAAAATTATACGGATTTGAGTCAGTAGCGAATGCACATTTCCTGTCACGTCATAAATTGCACGAGAAGAGTTTCGAAACACGTTTGGAATCAATTCTCCATCAATCGCACATATTCGTTTCCACACTGTCATCACATACAATGAAAGGTCCAAACATTGTTTTAAGCCTGTTTCCTGGCATCATTTAACTAAAACACATTGTTCTGTATATAAATTTGGTTTGAGATAGTTGCATGTTTTCTTAGGTTAATGCGCAGTGTCAAAGATGTCTGTCTCAAGTTACGAATTTATAGTCGTGTACCGTTTAAAAAGATCGCTGAATGTAGCAAGAATTCTTCCTTTTAATTTCACAAACTACAAAAACGTCTTTACAACCATCTGATCCTTTCAAAATTCAATATAAGACGACTCTGGCATCTACAAGTATCATCAATGAATAGCCAAAGAACAATATATACCGTAACGAACCAGTCCTCAGCTTGGAGACCTCTATATTTATCGTACGTCTACTTACTTTTGTTGTACAAGTCTTTGGCAGCAGATGAAAAAGCGCACTGTCAAGACAAGAAATACCAAGGCATATGTTCAAAGCCAACAGCAAAGCAAATATGGAGCTTAACTTTTCTAACCGTGACAACTGCAGGACAGGTCAGGTAAAGGCAAATTATTTCCCCATCATTTAGGGTCCTACCTGGAGAAAAATCATGTAAATAGAACCAAAATTCATAGCAGAGCGTCGATTTTTTTTTTTTTTCACTGACAAGTTATGTCTGTTAGCTTTCCTTCTTCGAGTGGACTGTGTTCCAGAATAACCATAGCACAATGCAACATACAATGATTATGACTTGTCTGTCACCACTAAAAGATGTGTACTCAAAGGTCTTAAGGTTAACATCGGTGATTGGCTTGTATCCCAGCCGCTTTTGTTATTCTAATTTATCGATTTACGCGTCGCGAAAACTGTTTGCTTTACGCGATGTAAAGAGAAAAGAATATAAGAAATTATGGATGGATAAATACCCTATTTCGCTAGCAGGATATTAGTTGCTCATAGAAAAAAAAAAAGATTTACGCAAGGGTTAATCCCGACGAACTGTGTGTTAATTTCATTGCAATACACCTGATCAAATGAATATATATGTTGATCGACCAAAAAGACGTGACGGTCGTGTGATAAATTGGGATAAAATTAATTAAGGTAACAAAATATTGTTCATCCATGATGTATTTTCATCAATATGGAACCACAATTGAAGTATTAAATTTGAAAAGGAGGCGAAGTTGTAAAACATGTTAAGATAAGATGCGATAATTAAAAACTGGCATGGTAAGAAAAACTCTTTTTAAATGATATCACGTCACATCCCTCTGTCATTTTATATCACCACATTATTGAAAATGCTTCCTCTCATCATGTGCAAAATGTTTCTTCAATCTGATCTATTTAAAGAGGGTTTGAAACATTTCCAGGACTTTCACTGTAAGGCACCTCCGTTACAGATTTTGTTCAAAGTAAAATTTTTTTTTTTTAATTTTCTATTTTAAACTTGGCCAGGCTTAAAACTCCACCAGATACAACGCATATGTAAGTCTTAAATTTTCAATTGAAACTTGTACATGAATGGTCGAGCCACAGCCTGTTCGATCGAAGTGACCAAAGGAGGCTGCCTTAGTTGCTGGCTTCAGTTGACTTCAGCGTAATCAGGTGTAAGGAATAGAAAACGTTTAGCGTGTTTCTGTCGAGTTTTAGCAACATGAGTGTTTCCGTAACTCGAAACATGGAAGAAATATTTAAAGGGCTTCTTTTTTTCCATACAGTTCTCCTCGCTTCGATTTATCTTGTTATGTAAATTCCAGTCAGCCTATCGTAAACGCTTGGCCTCTAAAGGACACCAAGCATTCCTTGTCAAATGAACTGATCTCCGTTTTCAGTTGCGTGTACATCACTGAAAACACGTTGAAGCCTTCTTAACAAGCGTTCCCCCGTTTTGAGTTCGTGAAGACAGAGGGAAAAAAATAGCGATAGGGGGGATAGGGGGGGGG